GAAACATGGATGAAGCTAGAAACCATCATTCTCAGCAAAGTAACACAGGAACAGAAAACCAAACACCACATGTTCTCACACATGAGTGGGTGTTGAACAATGAGAACGCACGGACATATGGAGGGGAATATCCCACACTGGGGCCTCTTGGGGGTGGGGTGTAGGGAGGGATGGCATTAGGAGAAATATCTAATGTAGATGATGTGTTGATCGGCACAGCAAAGCACCATGGTACGAGGATACCTTTGTAACAATCCTGCACTTTCTACACATATATCCTAGAACTTAAAGTATAATTTAAGAAAAAAAAAAGGCAAAATCCCTCAACAGATAGTTCAGAAAAAATAAACACCAATGGATCACAATCAAATGAAGGTATGAGAATCTCAGTCCTGAGGGAAATACAAATTAAAACAAGATGCCACAAATAACTTTTCACAGTGGGGGTAAAATGTGATCACACATTTTATATTCCGAGGTATAAATTTTGCTATAAATCAGTATAATCGTATTTTGCTATAAATCAGTACAATCAGCTGGGCATGGCATCTTAACTCCTGTAGTTCCAGCCACTCAGGAGGCGAAGGTAGGAGGATTGCTTGAGCCCAGGAGTTCAAGATCAGCATGGGTGATATATAGCAAGACCCTGTCTCCAAAAAACAAAACAAAACAAATCAATCACTACGGAGGGTAAAAGTACACACACATATATACTATTTCATCCATTTATTCCTCTTCTGAAAATTTACTCTAAAGAGCAACTTGCACTTGCACAAAATATATTACATATTACATCTTATACAATTATATACTTATACAACAAAATTATTCATTGCACTACTCTCTGTAAAAGCTAATTGCTGGATACTTATGTTGTTGGTTCCAGTAGTAGAGGATTTTATGGAATTCTTTTGTCTATCTACAAAATGAAATACCAAAAAGATGGAGGCTTGTACAACACAGGGAGAGGAAGCACTTTAGGTGTTCACACAGAAAGATCAAGGCATACATTTACATATTTAAAATGTCCACTCCCTGAGGCCCTGGTACACCTGTAATCCCAGTGCTTTGGAAGGCCAAGGCAGGAGAATCACTTGAGCCCAGGAGTTTGAGTTTACAGTGAGCTATGATCTGGCCACTGCCCTCCAGCCTGGGTGACACAGCAAGACCCTGTCTCAAAACAACAAAAAAAGTTTCCAGTCCTTGACATTTCTGATTTGCCATTTTACAAATTGTACTAATATAAAATGATACTTTGTTAGATTTAGCATGTATAATAATACGTGTTATTGCTACAGCATTCTTTATCAAGTATAAGAAAAAGAGATAAGAAAGAAAAATTGGCTAGATTTGGGGCCAGGTGAGTCACTAACTTCAACTGGCACACATTCTAAATTTTTTGGGCCACCTGTGATAAGCAAAAGCCAGGAAAGATAACTCATCAAAAAAGAATTTTTAGTGCTTTCCTTCATTTACCCCACTAAGGAAAACTGGTGATTGACTCCCAACGTTCTTCAAAGTTCTAGTTCCGAAACCAACCAAACCCAACCAGCCACTGGTTTTATTTAAAGCCTAAGACCTCTAAGAACAGTGTTTAAATTTTTAAACGCATGAAAGAAAATCAGAACAATACTACCCCGTGACACATGAAAATGGTATGAAATTCAAATTTCAATGCCCTTAAAAATCAGCTGAGAACAACCATGCCCATTCGTTTACATATTGTCAGTGGCTGCTTTTTTTTTCCTCATTCATTTGTAAGTTCTTGTGAAAGTTTTACAGAGCAAAATAGCCTTGTATAAAGGCTTTTTTCTAAATTTTCCCTTTCAGAAGACATCTCCTGCAATAATTTTAATAGGGCCAGGAGTTACTGAATATTGAGGACGTGCTAGGACAGCAGAGTTGAGTAGTGGCAACAGAAATTCTGGCCTGTAAAACCTAAATATTTACTAACTGATCTTTTACAGAAAAAGATTGTCAATTCCTGTTTTACTCTGTCTCAGCTTATTCTGTTTTCAGATAAATGCAAATCAAATGCTATTTTCTAAAATAAATTATTTCTAGCAAAAATGAGAGTATCTACTGAATCTCAAAATTATCCATCCGATTATTCTTCACATTAAAATTATATTTAGTTCCACATAGCATCAGTGATTACATACATTTTGTCATAAGCACAGTTAGTTACTTTGTTCACCAATGTGTCCTCCTTTCGATGCACTGACTCATTCATTCATTTTTGCGGAAAATAATTCTGGGTGGTATGTTTTAGCTCTTGCATGTCAAGAAATGTTTTGCCTTCACTCTTCTCACCTAGTTTTAACACTTCTCATTATTTGAAACCACTCTGTTCAGGCATTTGTGTGTGTACCATTTCTCCCACAACAAGATAAACTCCATAAAGTAAAGAAATCTTTTTCATTTGATCATCATTGCATCCCCATAAAAAAAGAACATAATGGTGAATATCTGAGTGATCAGATTGTGATACACTCAATCACTTTTCACCAGACCCCTATGATATAACCGAGTTTGGCTGCTCACGCCTGTAATCCTAGAAACTTGGGAGGCTGAGGCAGGAGGATTGCTTGAGCCCAGGAGTTAGAGGCCAGCCTCGGCAACACAGTGAGACCCCAACTCTAAAAAAGTAAAGACAATAGCCAGGGATGGTGGTGTGAGCCTATAGTCCTAAATCCTTGGAGGGCTGAGTGAGGAGGATCGCTCAAGCCCAGGAGGTCGAGGCTACAGTGAGCTATGATTGTGCCACTGCACTCCAGCCTGAGCAACAGACCAAGACCCTGTCTCAAACAAAACAAAACAAAACCCATGATGTAGATATTATTGTTTTCTTCAAAACACTTAACAACAACAATTTGCAAGACAAAAGAAGTTAGCTAACTTGCTCAGCTTCACATGCAGACTAAATGGCAGAGTTAACATTCCAACAATGTCAGATATGAGTGACTGTTGCAACCACATGACCCTACTCATCTGTCTTGCCAAGAGAGGCCTTGGGGCAGGAGGGCAGTTAGCTGAGGGCCCCCAGCCACAGATGTCTAGAGGACCTGCCTCCATTTCGATTTTCAAGCAGAGGCCATGCACTTTGCAGGCCGGGTCTAAACCACAACTCAGCACAGCAGTGTTAGTGGGGCTCTGCATTTCTATCCAGTAGACTTCTGGTGGGCGAGCAATACCAGAGCTTTGCAAAGGGCTGGCCAAACCTTTCTCACAGCTGTAAGGCAGTCTCAGACCTTCCCTTCCCCTCTCCTTTCACAGGTGCTAGACCTGCAATTCCCACCTGAAGGCTTCTCATGCCTGCTTCTGTTTTCTCTCTCTTGGTTTTTCATAGTAATTCCCCCTAGTAAACATCTTAGATGCCTAGCACCATACTGGAATATGCTTCCCAGGAAACCCAACAGACCAGGTCCCACAATGTCTGTGCAATGAATGAATGAAATAAAAAATAAAACTGGGTTTCAGTTTCTATGTTCAAAGATCCTTCCCTGAGGATATAATGACATAGCACCGATAATTTACTGGCATCCAGTGGGACAGATCAGAAATATAAATTTCAGTCCCAGCCTTATTCCTTCTTCTCTTTAAGACTTACGGGATTCTTTTTGAAAATCAAAAATTCTACCAGAGTATGTCTAGTAGTCTTTCTTCTCTTCATACTGCAATAAAAGTGTCCTAAGCTACTTTTTCTACATGTTAGATCTTCTAAACTTAAAATCGTCTTAAAACTGATAGCAAAAGAATCTCCCAGCTATGAGGAAAAGGAGGAAGTTAAGCATTTATCAGTAGTTGTCATTGTTGGCACACACACAAACTGTGGTAGAATTTTAAGTCTGGATCCTTAATTACGGTTTAATGTTTATCCATTAAGATTTCACTATGATGCAGCACTGAAATAAACAGTCGCGTAATAGAAGATTGCATATGCTATGACAGTCAGCGTAATTAAAGGCAGAGAAATATCAAATCTCTCGGAATTTGACATTTAGGAGAGGCTGGAGGGATTCATTCATGTGTCGTGGAGAACTATCATTCAAGTAGCTCACAAATCTGGTAAGCTGCCAGCTAACTTATCCGAAACACAGTTAAACTTCCAATGATGCATGATTACATTTTTTAAAGCTTGTTAAATTAACCAAGTTAAAAAAATGCAAAACCTAACACAGGCATCCAAATTATCACAACCTAAAGATGCTAAAGTCGGGATCACTTTTATGAATTGTGCAATTAAGATGCAGTCAACATGCTCTAAAATGATTTTAAATATATTTACCATGTATATATAAAATGAAAAAAGAATAATAAAGCGGTAAAATACTAGTAATAGGAAAATCAGGTAAATCTGGGTAAAAAATATACAGAGGTTCTACCCATTATTCTTATTCTTTTAATATTCCTGTGAGTTTGAAATTATATTCAAATAAAAAGTGTAAGCAGGCCAGGTGCCGTGGCTCACAGCTATACTCCAAGCACGTTGGAGGCCGAGGCAGGCGGATCACTTGAGGTCAGGAGTTTGAAACCAGCCTGACCAACATGGTGAAACCCTGTCTCTACTAAAAATACAAAAATCAGCTGGGCGTAGTGGCGGACACCTCTAATCCCAGCTACTCGAGAGGCTGAGACAAGAGAATCGCTTGGGCCCGCGAGGTGGAGGTTGCACTGAGGTTACCACTTCACTCCAGCCTGGGCGATAGAATGAGACCCTGTTTCAAAAAAAAAAAAGTATAAGCAGCTTTGCATTAAAATGACACTATGCAGAACACAAATGGTTAAGTGATTCAGAATGAGAAGGCTGGGGGTGATACAGGCGCTAAGGGAGCGGCATTTCATGAGGTGGGAAAAAATACATATATCCGTTTAGAGAAATCAGCTCCTAAGAATAATTACGTCTCTGGCTTCCTCGCTGAAAAGTTGTTTGGAAATAGGCATCTGACTGTTGATGCATCTTTGAATCAAAGAATTGTTTAGGCTGCCTTTTTTTTTTTTCCATAGGCTCCTTAGTTGGATATTCCATCTCTTAGTTCCAACCTTCACATTTCTTTTTTTTTTTTTTGAGACGGAGTTTCGCTCGTTACCCAGGCTGGAGTGCAATGGCGCGATCTCGGCTCACCGCAACCTCCGCCTCCTGGGTTCAGGCAATTCTCCTGCCTAAGCCTCCTGAGTAGCTGGGATTACAGGCATGCGCCGCCATGCCCAGCTGATTTTTTGTAGTTTTAGTAGAGACGGGGTTTCACCATGTTGACCAGGATGGTCTCGATCTCTTGACCTTGTGATCCACCCACCTCGGCCTCCCAAAGTGCTAGGATTACAGGCGTGAGTCACCACGCCCAGCCCAACCTTCACATTTCTTAATTCTGCTTCAGAATTTTCATCTTAATCCTTCTGCTTTAAATTTTGGAATAAATCCTCTGCTTAACTTTCCAGAACACTAATTTTCTTAAGTCCTCAGTCATTTCCATTTCTCCCTTCAGCCCACCTACTGACCTCACACACGCAGCAGCACTATTTTTTGTAAGACAGGCTCTCGCTCTGTCACCCACACTGGAGTGCAGTGGTGCCATCTCAACCCACTGCAACCTCCGCATCCTGGGTTCAAAAGATTCTCCTGCCTCAGCCTCCCAATTAGTTGGGATCGTGGGCATGGGCCATTATGCCTGACAGGGTTTCACAATTTTGGTCAGGATGGTCTCGAACTCCTGGCCTCATGTGATCCACCCACCTTGGCCTCCTAAAGTGCTGGAATGACAGGCTTGAACCACCCCACCTGGCCCATACCAGCGCTTTTTAACATTATAATCCCCCACTTAACTGTGAGGACTCCTTTGCTCTCTCTACCTTTCCCATGAGATGTGTTTTTGTTTTTGTTTTTGTTTTACTTTATCAGTTGCTCTGCTCTTGGGATCTGAGACTATAAATTAGAATTTTTAACTTTTCCCCAGTGTTAACTTTTCCCCAGTGGCTTCATAGGACTGGTTTGGTGGCCTCTCATTCTGTTGATTTCTTCTCAAACGTCTGATGATCTTTCTTGGTTGCTGGCTCATATTTACAAATGTGGGGCTGGAATGCTCACTATTAGTTGCTGCAGAGGGCTTCTTTAGCACACATGAAAATAATGGTGAATGAATAGAGCAGAACTGCCTTGACTCAGAAACCTCATATCCTTGGAGATGGAGACACAAAAGATACCTGGCACCTGCTACAACTTCTCCCTCCTGCTACACAGTCGCCCACTATCTTCTGCCTTGGCAAACCTCCCAGATTATTTAAAACTAAGCTAAATGGCTTTGTCGCAGAAGCAAACTGGACCACCATCCCCTCAGAGCCAGACTGAGCAGAACTGGAGCAGCTGTTTCAGGTTATTAATTCCTGGCCGGCGCTCTCATTAGCCACTTTTGTTGCCACCCCCTATGGTTTCAGTTCTTGGGAATCATCCAGGATGCTGTTAAGAAAATCAATTTTTCTAGGTATTCCCACTTCTGTCTCTATCAGGTTGTAAGTTCCTTTGCTGTGGAGTTTCACCATCAATCTGATCCCATCTGCTTTATTTATTCCACAATGTCCTCAGTGCTTCCGGGGCCTCTAGAGCAACTTTCTCATTTTTTAGCCCTGTTATGAGTCTTTTCATATTTTCATGTTTCTTCTATTGTTTTCAACAGAATTTTGAAAGGAAAGGAGAAAAAGTAAACAGACGCGGCTTACTGTATACCCACTTAGGGGGCCATAAAGGTGTCATTTCCTAAAAGTAGAGTCTCCGTCCTTTTTTATATGTCCTCTCTGGATACTAAGTGATTCATGGAAGGTCTGGTTTCTAGCCCATTTTTCCCCCATCGTGCAGGGAAAGCTACAACTCATAGAAAAAGCTTAACCACTTTTCATTTAACAGAATTATTACTTTTAATCACAAGGGTATCTGCGTAAAACAGGAAAACCTCATACATCAACCAAAGCTAAAGTCCCAGCTCCTCCATAAAACAGTCAGATGTCCCTGACCACAACCATTCTTAAAGTGCATAGTCATCCTGCTCCAACAACTCAAAGAAAGAGAGGCAGGGGAACCAGCTAGGCATGAGGATGTGGTTCGGTGGCCTGGCTGGCAACTCTAACCCATTTTGTATTTAAGGTCATTTTTCTAGTCTCTGCCCTCCCTCAATAATTACTGAGTATTTAATAGTAATCACAGAAGGCAGACTCGGGAATACAGAATACCTGAATTTGAATGTTAACACAAGGATTTGGCTTCAGGACTTTGGACAAGTTTTTAAACTCTCAGTTACTTAATGCCTCATCTGTCTAACATCTCAGGCCTTTCTAAGAGACAATACAAGGCTTTTGTAAATCTATATGAGAATGTGTGGTGAAGTACTTAAAGCAGGCCCTATGGCTACTTTCTGAGATCCAAGCAACTGGACCTCGCAGCTAGGGAATAATAAAGCTGATACTAGATGTCTTCATCAGCAGCATCTACTGGTTGAATACCAACCAGGCTGGGCTACTATGCTCTTTCCCAACAAAGTCAACAGCATCTGTTGCACCACACCAGTCTCTCCCAACTGTTACTCACACCTCTAGGGGTTCATGAACATGTCGCTAACATGTTTTCCCTAACGTGGCAAAATAAACTAACTCAAACCTACAAATTACAGGTACTATTTAGATAAGTATTTTTAAATGAGTAAAATTAAAATTGAAACAATATATCCTAAATCAGTGGTCCCCAACCTTTTTAGCACCAGGGATTGGTTTCATGGAAGACAATTTTTCCATGTCTTTCCATGGGGAAGGCGGGATGGTTTTAAAGGCATCAGGTTCTCAGAAGGAGCCCACAACCTAGATCCTTTGATTGGGCAATTCATAATAGGATTCGCACTCCTATGAGAATTCTAACGCACAGAGGGAGGTAGAGCTCAGCCAGTAACACCTGCTCACCTGCCACTCACCTCCTCCTGTTCAGCCCCTGTTCCTAACAGGCCATGGACTGGTACACCCCAGAGGTTGGTGACCCTTGGTCTAAATAACAGTGTAAGTGGAATCTAATGACAAAGTAGGATGATGGCACACTGCACTCATTTAAAGTTGGAAACCTTATGCTATTTTCACCAACAAAAGAGCCACAGAGCAAGATGAGAGTTTGAAGACATAGCCTCTCCAAAAAGGTCTTCGGCCAAATGCATTCAGCACGCACTACCTGCCAAATCAAACCATTCTAAATTGAAGATACTTACTCAAATTTGTGCTGTTCAATATTTCTCCAATTTATTTAACCAAGAAACTCTCTGAAGTGACAACACTGCAACGGCCTGCCAAACCCACTTGACAGAAAGTTGAACTACAGCTGCCAGGTGCCTGTAAATCAAAAGGCAAAGTGTGGCGAGTGAAGCCAGAGCTTGGGGTGCCGGATGTCGGGGTGCCGGATGTCAGGGTGCCTGGATCTGAATCCATGCTGTCTGACATGAGTATAACCTGTTAAGTTACAAGTGATCCCTGCTCTGACCTTCAGTGTCAGAATCCATAGAAGAGGAAAATGGTGCTGATTTGTTTAGAGCAGGGGTCAGCAAACTGCAGCCTGTAAACTGTTTTTATAAACAAGGGTTTATTGGAACCCAGCCACATTCAGTCATCTGTGAATTGTTCTATGGCTGCGTTCACATGTACAGAGTTGCGTAGCTGCAGCAGAGACTGTACACCTAAAATATCTACTAGCCAGGCCTAGACAGCAAGAGTTTGCCAAACCTTGGTGCAGAGCGTTGGTTCTCAAATCTGGCTGCACATCAAAATCATTTATAAGCTGAAAAAAGAAAAAAAAAAAAAAAAAAAAAAAAAAAGCCAAAACCGTCGCACCGCCTGAATCAACTGACTCAAAATCTTAGGCTGTGGAGATGTGACATCATTTAACTCCCAGGTGAGCTCTGCTGGCACCTATGGCACCAGGCTTCAGGGTGCTGGGACCACCCCTGAGCCTCACACAACTCACAGGCTAACAGAGCTCTAAGAGCTATAAGGGGTTAATCTAAATGTGAAGAGGACCGTGGGAGGCAGAGGAAACCATGGCTACTTCAGGGATCTAGAGGCCAGAGAAAACCCAGGAACAACCCAGAAGTCTGCTTCTAAGGATACGAGGCTACCAGAGGGGATATAAGGTAACTGTACAGAAATATAAAAGCAGACAGAGAGAAATGAGTCAACCAAAGAAGATTCAATAACAGCACAGAAAATTAAAAATTGGGGGAAGACATAATTTGACTCTCTTAATTCAGTAGATAAACAAAAGCCACTACTGGGAAGCAAATCATGAAGACACCCACAGTATATGCAGGTAACACAAGTCTCCTGAGAGTAAAAAGGAGAAGAGTGACAATAATTAAAGAAATAAAAAAGGAAATGCCTCCATAGAAAGTAGCATAGAGATTACAGAGAGATTGGGGAGATATTATTTAATCAGCACAGAGTTTATGTTGGGAATTGTTTTAGTTTGTTTTCATGCTGACGATAAAGACATATCTGAGACTGGGCAATTTATAAAGGAAAGAGGTTTCATGGACTCACAGTTCCACTTGGCTGGGTAGGCCTCACAATCATGGCAGAAAGTGAAAGGCACATCCTACATGGCGGCAGGCAAGAGAGAATGAGAGCCAAGCGAAATGTGAAACCCCTCATAAAACCAACAGATCTCATCAGACTTACTCACTACCATGAGAACAGTACGGAGGAAACAGCTGATGATTTAATTATCTCCCACCAGGTCCCTCCCATAACACATGGGAAATATGGGAGCTACAATTAAAGATGAGATTTGAGTGGGAACATGGCCAAACCGTATCAGGAATTACTAAAATATTTTGGGTATAGATCATGATGTTTACACCACAGGCAAATGTCTTTGATGGCACTAAATTGTACATTTGCAAATAGTTAAAATGATAAACATGTATGTTTCCCCACAACAAAAAAAAAGTAATGTATAAATGTAAATATGTACATGAACAAAAAAAAGACTGAAAAGGAAATATTTTTCATTTGAAGACAGACTTGTAAGGCTAACTATGGGCCAAGGAAACTGATGAAAAAGAAGTGTATCTGGATACATTCTATTAAAATTTCCAAATTCCATAATAGAGAAAAATGATCCTTCAAGTTTCCAAACAGACATGAAAACGAGTAGGTATTTCTATCACTTGGTTTTAGTATCTTTCCTACAAACCTGGTGAATAGGGGAAAGTTCAGTATATTCTGCCTTCCCAAACCGTCTACAATAGTACTTCTAGCTTCAATTTCTGCAAGGTTAACAATTATTCAATATGAGACAGCAAGACAAACCTATCAACAGGTAGCATACTACTATAGGGTCACAATATAATTTATCATCAAACACACTTGAGAATAAAAAATGTTGCCATTAATAATTACAGAGACAACAGATTCCAACCTGGGCTCATGGTTACCCCTAACTCCTAAAATGGTTCAATAAATAACCATTCAAGTTTCCAGGCATTCTCATCAAAGATCTGACATTTTAAAACAAATAAAGAAGGCCTGATTTTTTCTTACTATTTTCAATTCTTTATTTAGCAGTCTTATAAATAAAAAGGAAATAAC